ATTGTGTATGTGTAGTTAAAACACTGGACATTTTTAAAAAACTTTATCTGGATTTGGAAATTGGGAAAAAAAAATCTATTGAGTCTTACTGTAATAAATGCAAGATGTATTTATTCTGCATATGGTTACAACACAGTATGATGTCATCCTTTCAGCACAGCAAGGCCTGATGATGTGGCATGTTACTTCAGAGAAGGCTCGCTGGGCTCCCTCTTCTGTAGTGCCTGTGAATCTTCCATTTCCATTGTAGAACTGTTTCCAAGGTCCATGCTGCTGCTTTAGTACAGCCATTTTTATGTGGCTCGTTTGAAGTGCAGTCTGTATAGAAGTCCAAAGACTTAATCCTAGAGCTGAAACAGAGAAATGACATTCTACTCCTGTGGCATAGCTGAATTGAAATGAGTTTATTATCAGCACAGTGTATAGGCTGACTTAATCATTTCATTTGTTGTTGGGTTCTCCCCCCAACCCCCCAAGGTTTCTTTGTGTGTAGTTTTGCGTCCTGGAACATGCTCTGTAGACTAGGCTGGCCTTGGACTCAGCAGAGATTTGACTGCCTCTGCCTCCTCAGTACTGGGATGGAAGGCATGTGGCATGTGCCACCACTACCTGGCACATTTCACTTTTTAAACTTAGAAATTGTCAGTTTTAGCGGAAATTTATTTGAATTAATACCTGTTTCTTGTTTCTTATTATTTTGACTTATTTTATGTGTATGAGTATTTTTACTGCATGTGTGTATGTGTACCACATGTATGCCTGGTGCCCATGGAGGTCAAGAGAGGGCATCAGATCCCCTGGAACTAGAGTTATGAATGGTGGTGGATACTGGGAACCCAGGCCAGGTCCTCTGCAAGAACAGCAAATGGTTTTTTTTTTAAAGACTTTATTTATTTTATATTTACACGTGAGTACACTGTCGCTGTCTTCAGAAACACCAGAAGAGGGCATCAGATCCCATTGCAGATGGTTATCCATGTGGTTGCTGGGAATTGAACTCAGGACCTCTGGAAGAGCAGTCAGTGCTCTTAACCACTGAGCCGTCTCTTCAGCCCCAACAAATGCTTTTTACCTCTGAGTCATTTCTCTAGCCCTCTTGGTTGTTCTTTGTTTCTTTCTTTTTTGTTTTCTTCAAGACAGGGTTTCTCTGTGCAGTGTTGGCTGCTATGGAATTCACTCTGTAGACTAGGGTAGATCCCTGTGTCTCTGCCTCCCAAGTGCTGGGATTCAAGGCATGTACCACCACTGCTCAGTGTTTATCTTGTGTGCATAGCAGAACACAGGTGGTATTTACTAACAAGATGGTGTTCGCATGAGAAACATGCTACATCCTTGCTACTGTTGGAAGGATGACTATATTTTCTTGTAATCAGCACACATGCTTATGTTCATATGCCTATTTTAAATCATCTTTCTTTGGTTGAACATTTGTGCTGGTGCCCCCAAAACTATACAATACAGCAGAGTTCTTAAATTTTAAATCAGGTATTTATTAGTTACTTTGTAAACTGTTAAGTAAATGCTGCTTTTTAAATCATGTGAGAATATAATTAATCTGGTGTGTGTGTGTGTGTGTACATGCACATGCATGCACCATGTCTTTTAAGTGGTTACTACTTACCAGGCAGTAAATGCTAACTCAGTCACTTTCCATAGACTATCCTGTGTTTGGTTGTCCTTTAAAATGCATTTCTAATAAGATGCAAAAAAATATTGACTGACATTTAAAAGGTTTAATGGAGTTCTTTTTTTTTTTTTTTTTGGTTTTTCGAGACAGGGTTTCTCTGTATAGCCCTGGCTGTCTTGGAACTCACTCTGTAGACCAGGCTGGCCTCGAACTCAGAAATCTGCCTGCCTCTGCCTCCCAAGTGCTGGGATTAAAGGCGTGCGCGCCCCACCACTGCCTGGCTGGAGTTCCATTTTTAAGGTACATATTTTTGTTCCTCTGACTTCTTTTACTCTTCTAAAAATGTTAGTATCCTGAAAAGAGAAAGAAGCTGTTAGGTAACAAATAACTTGATTTATTAGTGTAAACAGGTATATTTTCCCTAAACATAGGAGGAATGAAAAAATCCTGGTAATTTGATGTTAAATACAGTGCTTTTCAAAGTAAACGTTTCAAGCACCTTCAAGGTGGTTATAGTAGTAATCGGCTAAGTGTGATTTGCAAATGTTTGGTCAGGTGTGCTGACATTGATGAATCAAACACTGGCTGCCAAGAAAATTGACTGTACGTGTTGATGGATCACAAATGGTTACCTAGATGAGGATTAAGATCAACTAAACCAGTTGTTTTGTTGGTATAAGCTTCAAACTTTGAAAAAATACTCATTTCTCTCTTTGGAGCAATCTCTAGTTAAGTGCTTCCTTTCCGCTCCATTTCTTTTTCTAAAGAAATTGCATTCATTATTTGTTGGGGAGGATTTGGGGTTTCTTTTTCTTTTTTTTTTTTTGGTTTTTCGAGACAGGGTTTCTCTGTATAGCCCGGGCTGTCCTGGAACTCACTCTGTAGACCAGGCTGGCCTCGAACTCAGAAATCCGCCTGCCTCTGCCTCCCGAGTGCTGGGATTAAAGGCGTGCGCCACCACCGCCCGGCCAGGGTTTCTTTTTCTAAAGAAATTGCATTCATTATTTGTTGGGGAGGATTTGGGGATGCCATGGTGTGAATAGAGGTCCCGGGGATCAGATTCAGTTGGTCAGGGTTGACAGCAGGAGTCATCACCCACAGAGCCATCTTCTGCCACCATTTTGGTTTTTTTTAAGAGAAGGTATTGTTTTGTGACCCTGGTAGGTCTTGAACTCAAAGCCTCCTATCTATCTGTCTTCTGAGTACTGGAATTACAGGCATGTCCCACTGTTCCTGGCTCCACTCTCCTTTTCAAATTGAGTTTATGAGTAGGCAAAAGGTTTATTGTCCGTGACCAGTTGGGTATAAAGGTTTTGGGAACTGATTGGTATATTCTGATAAAATACAATGGGAAGGAATATTGCTACTTGAAAAAAATTAAGTTAAGTGACATTTTTGTTTTGAAACAGAAAGATTTATAATAATTAATTTTTTAAAAAAGTGTGGTATGGGGGTGTGGGCGTGTGTGTGTTTTGGATCTTGAACTAAGGACCTTGTATATTCTTAAGGGATAAGAGTTTAAACAGACTCTCAGGGGAAAACACAAGATGTTTAATAATCAGTGTTAGTAATTCAGGAGATTATAGTTAAAACCATATAATAACATTTAATATTCACCAGATTGTTAAGACATTTTAAAGTGGTTTAGAAGTACTGAACTTCTTTGTTCTTTGTACAGTGGAACGTCAGTTGGAGTCATTCTGGAGGGAATTTGTTAAGTATTGGTATTGTTGAAATATATATCCTGCAGTCTAGAAAAACTACCATTGGGGTTCTTTTTCTGAAGAAAAAAAAAGTGCTTATGTAGAAGAAGAAAACACTAGACCAAAATGTTTAATGTAGTACTATTTTATTTATATGAAATACAAATAATACAATACATATTTTTAACATGGAAATATAAACGTCTTTAGGAAGAATCTAGATAAATAACTGCTTTATTTATAGGATGGAATACTATAGAGGAGCTCAAATTAATAAGATTGTGCCAGGTGTAGTAGTGTATACTTTTAATTCCAATGGAGGCTGAAGCAGGTGAATTTCTGTGAGTTCCAGGACAGCCTGGTCTACATAGTGAGTTCCAGGATAGCAAGGACTACATAGTGACATCCTGACTTTAAAATAAACAAACACATGTATGTGAATACACAGTGATATAAGTTAGGTCTGTATCTATTACATTAACCCATTTCCAGAAAACATAATATTAAATTAATAGTTAGTTATATAAAATGTAAAAACAGTTTGTAGATTCTTGTATGTTTGAACATATATAAGAAAGATAGACAGTAGCATTAAGTTGGTAGTTATCTTTAGAAAATGCAAAGAGTGGGAGGCAATTTCATTATATTCATTCTATAGTCCCCTGTTGTCCCAAGGAGATGAAATCCAAGACCCCTAGTGGATACCTGAAATAAGAGGGCATATTTTGTCTTTCCTGTGTATCTTAAGTGTTGCCACGCAGTAAAAGAACTACTCTATTCTCCCCCTACCCCCTACCCCCTACCCATACCCCATCGTTATTTATTTATTTATTTATTTATTTATTTTCCCTTTGAGTCAAGGTTTCTCTGTGTGGTCTACCTGTCCTGGAACTCATTCTGTAGACCAGGCTGGTCTTGAACTTCTTTTGCCTCCTGAGTGCTGGGATTGAAGGCATGTGTCACCATGCCCAGCTTGTTCTTCCATTCTTAATGTTTTAATCCATGCTTTATATTATTTTTGTATCTTTGTGTCATTTGCTGAGGACATAAAATAAATATTACTTGTACATAAGCACTGTACATCTCTCTAGTCAGTCTGATGACTTGGATTTCTAAGTGACTAGTTGTAAATGGAGTATATAGTCTGCATGTGCTGGGTAAGGGATCCCCAGGTGGACAGAGAGCTTATGCTAGGTTGTGCAGTTTTAAGAAGCTTTTTTTTTTTTTTTTTTTTTTTTTTTTTTTTTTTTTTTTTTTTGGTTTTTCAAGACAGAGTTTCTCTGCGTAGCCCTGGCTGTCCTGGAACTTACTCTGTGGACCAGGTTGGCCTCGAACTTAGAAATCCATCTGCCTCCTAAGTGCTGGGATTAAAGGCGTGCGCCACCAGCACCCGGCTAAAAAGCATTTAAAAAAAAAAAAAACAAAAAAAATTTATTTTATGAATGTGAGTACACTGTCACTATCTTCAGACACACCAGAAGAGGGCATTGGATCCCATTGCAGATGGTCATGAGCCACCATGTGGTTGCTGGGAATTGAACTCAGGTCCTCTGGAAGAACAGTCAGTGCTCTTAAACACTGAGCCATCTTTCCAGCCCTTAAAAAGCATTCCTTTTTACATTTTACCTTATTTAGATTTTTATTTTTGTGTATGTGTTGTGTGTGCACGGATGGGGGTGCGTACCCATAAATGCCCATAGAGACCAGAGACAGATCCCCCAGCAATTGAGGTTATAGACAGTTGTGTGCTTCCTGGATGTGGATTGGGATGTTGGGAACTGAACCTCCACCCTTTTTCTTTTAGTGGCTGAGCTATCTGTCCAATCCCCAATATAAAATGAAAAATTTTATATAAAGATTTAAGTAGAGAAGACTGTATATATTGATCAGATGTTTAAATAGTATGAAAAATGTAAACATGCATTATTGCTTTTAATATAATTTAGAAAGTGTGAGTTGCTTTGGAGTATGAAAACTTATTTATTTTTACCATTGAATAAATAATCTAGATTTTAAAAAATTGCATGAATCATTAGCTCAGGTTGAATGTGCTATTTCTGATAATAGCTGGTTTTTCTTTTCTTAGGTAAGGCAGGCAACCAATCAGATTGTGATGAATTGTGCTGATATTGACATTATTACAGCTTCATATGCGCCAGAAGGAGATGAAGGTAAGGAACTGTTTTGTGTTTTAATTTGGTATATGAGAGAGACAGAGCCTGACTAACTTAAGACTTTCAGATTGAAACTCGAGTACTGCTTGCTTTAAAATGTGCTGGGCACCATGGTACATCCCTGTAAGCCCTGGATATAGGAGGCCGAGGCAAACAGACTGTTTCTGACCAACCTGGTGTACATGTGAGACTCTGTCTCAAAAAGCTACAAAACAAAGCAAAGAAAGTTAGTTAGTTGTTCATGGGACTGTTTGAATAGTATTATCTAAGAATGTGCTGAGATAAAAGGAAAGTCAGAATTTAAATTCTCCTTGAAACAACTTATGTAGTTATCCTGGGAAATCACATTTTATAATGTAAAATGAGTATAATAACAAGCATAGCAAAGGCGATGAATTATTTATTTATGTATGTATGTATTTATTTATTTATTTATTTATTTGGTTTTTCGAGACAGGGTTTCTCTGTGTAGCCCTGGCTGTCCTGGAGCTCACTCTGTAGACCAGACTGGCCTCGAACTCAGAAATCCGCCTGCCTCTGCCTCCCAAGTGCTGGGATTAAAGGCGTGAGCCACCACCGCCTGGCTTGAATTATTTTATTTTTTTTAAAGATTTATTTTATTTGTAAGTACACTGTCACTGTCTTCAGACCTATCAGAAGAGGGCATCAAATTCCATTACAGAGAGTTGTGAGCCACCATGTGGTTGCTGGGAATTGAACTCAGGACCTCTAGAAAGAAGACCAGTGAATGCTCTTAACCGCTGAGCCATCTCTCCAGCCCCTGAATTATTTTTTAAATTAAGTACTTTGGACTTGAAAGTTTCATTAAAGAAGCTTAGTTTTATATGTTTTTTTGCTTTGTTTTGTTTTTGTTTTTGTTTTTGAGACAGGGTTTCTCTGTGTAGCCCTGGCTGTCCTGGAACTCACTCTGTAGACCAGGCTGGCCTCGAACTCAGAAATCCCCCTGACTCTGCCTCCCAAGTGCTGGGATTAAAGGCGTGCGCCACCACCGCCTGGCTATATGTATTTTTCTTACTTAAAAAGACCTCACCACCTTGAACCTGGAGATAGGAAGTCTTGCTTATTATTGGAAAAATACTTGATGAGGCCAAGGTTAGTTTAGGAATTGGATGATTTAGTCATGCAGATGTTAAAGAACCATGGTGTGTGTGTGGGGGGGAGCCCTCTTAGCATCCTGAAAATGAGAACTATTATAGGTGTGTGTAGTTTCAGTAAGGTTGGAATAGGATTGAGGTTCAGATGTTACCCCACATAAGCTGCATGGAGCCAAACTTCTTTTTACTTTTGTGTTTACCTTGCCATTCCTTGTCAGAATATTTTATTGGTTAGTTGTAGAAAATCTCATTTGACATAGATTAAATTACCAATATTTTTCTTGGTTTCTATTTTTTATTCTGCTTTACATTATGTTGAAATGAAACATGCAGATTTATTTTAAGGTCTAGTGTTTGTGTCATGACTTTTTCTTAGGACATCTTATAGTAGGAAGATGAGGTGATAGTTGTTGCCCATGTTGTTGCTACAGTTAGCTTATGGTTAGTACTTTGTGAAGTTGAACTGCTTGCTACATTTTAACTTTAGAAAAACAGATTCTTCAGTTAGACTTGAATAAGTGGGGACTTTTGAAAAATTGCCTGGCAAATGAGAGGATGATCAATTTCTTCACTTCCAAGGAAAAGCGGAAACACTTGAGATAGTTCCATCAAGAGTAGCTTTCAAAGCCGGGCAGTGGTGGCGAATGCTTTTAATCCCAGCATTTGGGAGGCAGAAGCAGGAGGATTTCTGAGTTTGAGGCCAGCCTGGTCTACAGAGTGAGTTCCAGGACAGCCAGGGCTACACAGAGAAACCCTGTCTTGAAAAACAAACAAACAAAAAGAAGAGTAGCTTTCAGTTAGTGAACATCTCAGTCAGTATTGTTTTTTGTTTTTTAAAAAAACCCAGCTTGCCATTTATTATGCACTTAATTAGTCTAGCCCCTGTACTTATGGAAGATACAAAGACCCAGAATCATCATCCTTTCTTTTTAATTCCATGTGCACTGGTGTTTTCTTTGCGTATCTCTGTGTGAGGATGTCTGATCCTCTGGAACTGGAGTTACAGACAGATGTGAGCTGCCATGTGGGTGCTGGGAATTCAGCCTGGGTCCTCTGGAAAAGCAGCCATCGCTCTTAACCAATGAGCCATCCCTTCATCTCTGTCACTGTAGTGTTAACTGTTAATAAGGGATCCAGTATAGATTGACAGATCTAGTAAAACCAACATGTCCCCTTCAGTAGCGTTTTAGCTTACTTAAAAAACAAGAACAAGGGGCTGGAGAGACGGTTCAATGGTTAAGAACACTGACCTTCTAGAAGTCCTGAGTTCAATTCCCAACATCCATGTGGTGGCTCAGTACCATCTTTACTGGAATCCGGTGCCCTCTTCTGGTGTATCTAAAGACAGCGACAGTGTACTCATATACATAAAACAAACAAATCTTAAAAAACAAACAAAAACCCAAACGAAAACCCAAACACTTCCTAACCAAACTGCAGGAAAGGGGCAGAGGCTTTGTAAGGTTAGGAGTGTGTGCTAAGCTGGGAGTGACCTGCATTGGAGCACCCTGAGGAGTGTTCTCAGCATGTACGTAGCAGGGCAGCTCCTGCTTAAGGAGTAGGATCTATAGAGAGGCTGATGAAACTCCGCCACTTTTAAAATCTCTTCCACCTGGCAGCGGTGGCCTGCGCCTTTACTTCCAGTGCTTGGGAGGCAGAGGAAGATGAATCTCAGAGTTGGAGGCTAGCCTGGTCTATAGAATGAGTTCCAGAACAGCTAGGGCTGCACAGAGAAACCCTGTCTCGGAGAAAACAAAAACAACAACATTGTCCTTCAGAACTAGTTAAGGCACATCTCTCAATCCTTTTCTCCTGTAGCGTCAAGAGAAACCCAGAACCATACAGGAGCTCATTTGATATTAGAACGTAATTTACAAAATGATAATTTTATTGATTTGATATTTTAAGGTTTTCGTAAGAAACACTGATAGACTTAGCCCCCCCCCCGCCACCACCCATACACAAATAGTTATAAATTTGATCCAGCTCTTTCCAGAGCTGTTTGCTGGTACTAGGGAACATTTTAACCTAACTACTGACATCAAGTACCCATTAATACTTACGATTGATTACTTTCTGCAAGGTTGATTCAGCCAGGCATGGTGGCCCATACTTTTAATCCTTGCTCTATAGAAGCAGAGGAAGGTGGATCTCGTATGAGTTTTGGGACAAACTAGTTCTGTATAGTCAGTTCCAGTGCAGCCAGGAGCACACAGTGAGACCCTGAGAGAGTACACAGGAGCACACAGTGAGAACCTTAGAGAGAGGGGGTGTTGATTTAGATAGTAGGAGCCACTACAGTCTGATGCTTTAATGTAAAACAAACCAGGACATTATTTGAAGCCATGACATTGCTGGAATGTGAGTTTTTAATAGGTGAAGAAAGGTCATCTCGTGATATGTACATTAATCCGGAGAAACCATTAGACTCTAAGGCACTGTCTTTTAAGCATGGTTAATTTAAAACAACTGAGATCTTACTCAGCAAAAATGGCTGAAAACTCTTTTTTTACTGTTCTGCACTTCAAGGGTTGGTGAAATACTAGCACTTAAGCCAGTGCAAGGAGTGTACCTCCCTACGCAGGGCAGGGTTAGTGTTGTCCTCAGCGTCTGCAAGAAAAATACGAAACTCTTAAGTGCCTGAACTCAGGTCCTGACAGGTAACCAGTCTTTTAATTTATCATTAATAGACAGCTTGAGTAAAGCCACATAGAAAAGGATCATTGGAAAGCTTTGGGCTGGCCTTTTCCTGAGTGTATCCTTCAGACAATCTGCTTGCAGCGGTAGTGTGTGGGAAAGGATTTCCCTTGGTGAAGTATGTCCATTCAAAGCTCTAGTGCATAGTTCCAGATTTACCATCATCACTCTGGCTTATCTCTATAAGCTTGATCTAAATTACATTGTGTCTTGAAGTACAGTTATGTGTTTGAATATGTGTTTGTGGAAGTGTGCATATATTTAATGTAATAAAAGGATATTGCCAAATATATCATCAGAACAAATTGTTAAACCTGACAAAGAATGGTTCTTCACTTGGTTGTAAGCCCTGTCTAACTTCTAGTATTGTATATTCTATCATATAACACGTATATAGATAAATAACACTAGACACCTTTTTTGAAATCGACTTAATGTCATTATTTTGAAAATTCATGTGGCCCTTATAATGGAAAGACTGAGAAGGGGAAAAGACACTCAGCACCTTCCCAGTCTCATGACCTATGGTGGAACTCCTGACCCCACATGGTGGAAGGTGACCTAATGTGTTGTGGTATCCCCCCCCCAAAAAAAAATAATACTTTTTAAAAAAAGAAAAAGCAAATATTTATGGCTGGTGTATAGTTCAGTGGTAGAATACTTGTGTAACATGTGCAAGGCCCTGAATTTCTTTCCTACTACTATAAATATTGAAATAGTCAGAATATTCAGTCAGCTTCTTTTAGTAGGTTTTTAGACTTTTTGTGTGGAGAAGTTAGGCACATGATGGACTACCAGGGCTAGACTCTTCATGCACTCTGCCACTGAATTATGTCTTACCCAGTTTACTTTCAGAGAGTGTTTGTTTTGTTCTTTGAGAAGGGGATGCACTATATAGCCAAGACTGGCCTTGAACACAGAACACTTAATAACCCCCTGCTTCATCTTATTTGTTTGTTTGTTTGTTTGTTTATTTGAGACTGGGTTTCTCTGTGTAGCCCAGGCTGGCCTCAAACTCCACCTATCTCTGCCTCTGAAGTCTCCAAAGTGCTGGGATTAAAAGCGTGCACCATCCCCGCCTGTCGTCTTCTTTTTTTTAATTTACTTTTGTCTCTGGTTTATTATTTCTGAATGTAGTGAGTTTGGAGAATGGGAGCATAATGTCTATTTGTCCTGTTCTTTTGA